ACATTCATTTATGTGAAAAAGCATTTTGATAGATATACCAAACTCTGTGTTAAGTATGTCTATGTACAAACTTATTGTTTCTTGGGAAATGCATACTTAGTTATTTTAACAAACCTAGTTTCACACCTCTTTACTCAAGTTATACTTCCTTAAATCATGACCAACATCTTCAGGTTCATTACCTATAACATGCATTAATATAATATAATAAGAGGAAAAATCTGTTACCATCTCAATAATACATTGGTTACAAGATCTGCAGGGTCTTGTGTGACATTTTGTGAACCACTATTCCCAACATAACAATAATGTTACTGAGACTAACTGCAGTTCCATAATTTTACCTCTGTTTTGCTCCTGAGCCCTCTCTTCACAGCCTCCAGCATAGTTCGCTGGATTATTTCTCTGAACTCCTCTGCAGTGTGGTCCACAGTGGCTACCTGAGCGATGATAGCCATCAGGCACAAGGTGGCGCTGTCACCCAGGGACATATCACCTAACTGAAAGAGAGGAAAAGGGATTATTAGCAGGGGTTCTTATTCGTGAGGGATTCGCCTTACAAATTCAGATTAACCCTTTTTTAAAAATAAATCAGGTAGAAGTATGAATTTCTGAATTGGTGGCAGATAAGGCAATATTTCTTATGAACGCCATTATATTTTTGGCTAGCTAGTCTCGGTCTGAAGAAAGCACAACTAATTGAAAACAATCAGAATTAAAAACTACTGGTTTTACCACAAGTCTATGAACTACAAAACAAACCCACTGTACATTCTTAGCTCTATCTATGACAGAATAACAATAACCCAAAGAGCAGCAGAAGCAGAACCATGCAAACTCCACACACAGAGCCAGAATAAATCGCCAGGGATACCCACTGCTTATCCACCTAATCTGCATAATTACATTTGCTGTTTCATTACATTTTGCTTACTGACTGATATACAAACAAACAGCAAAGTCCTGAATGAACATCCAGATGCTCATTGCTACACTAGGTAAAACAGCCTTGTAAAAAGAAATACACCAAGAAAAATGGGAAAACTGGTCTTGACTTTATCTTTGATAACAAGGAGGGCATCTGTTAGTGACATGCTACTAACTGGTTTCTACAGTGGTTCCAAACAGTGAGCCTCCACTCCTGGGTAAAACATGGAAAACCCAGAAACGGACTCACCTCAATGGAATGGAAGCAGTTCTGCATGACTGTGAAGAGGTAACTGACATCGAGAGTGGTCATCTCTTTGATGTGTGTGGTAACCGACTGGAAAGCTGACAGGCGAAGGTCGAAATTGACTTCATCCAGGTGTTTTCGGTCGAAAGCATTCAGCTGGAATAGAGGCGAAAAGTAATTCATTAGGGATGGTCTGATCGGTCGCAAAATTCCGAAAAGACAAGGCAAGGTTATACTAATTGAAAAAAATAATGGAGAGAGGGATAACCTTGGCCGTGATGTCAGTAATGTACTTCAATCCACTGTCCAAATCCGCTAATGTCTGTAAATAGAAACAGGATGGATTTGAAACAATATAACTA